AAAATGGTGAGCATGCGATCGCATTGCTCAAAAAGCGACCCGAAACGAAGTTTAAATGATAACTAGGTGCTTGTCAAATGTCGTGCTTGCAATTGTCACTAGGGCATTTGTCGTGGACCGGATTTTGAGGGGTAGCTCTTTGTTCGTTTAGTGAAATTTCGGTTCTTTATATTAAGAGGTGATTTTCACGGTGCTTTAAATATATGTCGCTAGGAGAAGCGATTTTGCATCAAACTAAACATCACATCCCGAGGTTGATTCCCGTCAACAGCGATCAGCTGAACTGTATACAAGACGCTTGATTCGTGAAGTTTTTCGCAGATTTACAAGACGCACGGCCAGTTGAATGAATTTATTTTAGATCGTGGAATGGCTCAATTGGGCGCCTCATCCTCAGGTGTTGAGCAGGAGAGGGTTCCTGGAGTGGGAAATGGTGGTGAAAGGTTCTCAGAACTGATCCAGACCTTCAAAAATGATTCTCCAGAATCCGAACGTATCGGTGTCGACGAGTGTTGTCAATTACTGCAAGCATGCAAATCGAATGAGGATTATTTCATCGCGTTTGCTATTGTACGTCGTTCGTTCTAATTCATACAATCGTAGGAAAACTTCAACAATTCTCGTATTCATCGCTTGTTAAGGATTCCTCTTCAATTATAAGCTCAAACATTTTGGATTCGTGATTACCCGATAGACTTCTGCTCTCTTCGAGAAGATCCATCCTTAATGAGCAGAAATGGCGATTCAGATTGCGCTCTGCAAAATCGAAAATTATGATTTTTTAAAACTCCAGTTGTTACTTTCAAAGTTTTGTTCAGAACAAATGGAATAGAATCCGAATCCCGGATAGCAAAAATCCGAATATTTACATATGTATGTAATCATTCATGGATATTTTGAGCTCCTTCAGTTTTCAACTGATTTATCAATTGTATTTGGTATCAACCAATCAGTACTGATAATCAATTGAAAATTCACAGTTTAACTTTCTTATCTCTGATCAAATAGCGACAAGCCTATCTCATGTGCAGATGGAATTGAGTTCATATATTACGGATATAGATTGACTACAGTGGTTGAAAAGCAAACAAAAATTCCATTCACCGAATTACTCCACGCACATATGTTTCTACATGAATCGTATATAATTGATGTGGGAAATGTCTTTACCCATTTGCACTTAAAATTTCATTTTATCGGATGATGCCTTAATTGATTAAATTCCTGTTCCTGTTAATCAGCTTTGGTAAGCTCGCTAAA